CTATTCTTGTAAACAAATAGATTTAGGGTTTCGAAACAAGAGCGATGACTATCAATGATGAGAAGACGCAGTAAAAAGACCAAAACCGTCGACAAGAATCCACAAATCTCGAAAGAGAGGAGAAACGGCTTTGATGGAATCCCTCTAGACCTAGTGATCGAGATTATTGGTCGATTGCCTGTGAAATCAGTAGCTAGGTTTCTTTTAGTATGCAAGTTATGGGGAAAAATCATCCGGAGTAGAGATTTCGTCAAATCATTCCCGTTTGGTTCTTCTTCGTCTCAGCGTCGTGTCCTAATCACTTTGAGTGATTTTCATAGACAAAGAGAACACCAAAATCGGTACTTGTTCTCGTCTTCTTCTTTTCTGTCACGTATTAATTGTCCCTTCCCAAATACTGAGCGCGTAGAGTACTATTCTCATTTTGTTAATGGCTTACTAAGCATCGGATGTGGTAAGAAACAATTCATAGTTAACCCTAGCACCGTTAAATTCATAGATTTACCTAAAGTCAGAACAAGGAGAAGGGTCGCAAAGAGTTTTTTTGGGTATGATTCAGTTAATGATGAGTACAAAGTATTGTGCATGACGGAAAAAATGTATGGTGATCCGAAAGAACCATCATCTCAACATCAAGTATTCACATTGGGAGCTAAAACAAATTCATGGAAAATGATAGAATGTAGCATTCCTCACCGTCCTTGGTCTAACGGTGTGTGCATAGATGGTGTTGTGTACTATGTTGCTGACACGGGGCCGGAATTGTCGCATATGAGCTTAATGAGATTTGATTTGAGGTCTAACAACTTGGATCTTGTTACCAGAGTATCTGAAGACATTGTAAGCAATGTTACACGTTTACCAGAGTGTGGGTGCACTTTTATGTCAATCTACGAGGGTAAAGTAGCCATACCTTCTAATCCTACAACATACACATTTGATGTGTGGGTTATGGATCAGGATGCTAAAAACCATGAATGGTTGAAGAAAGTAAGTTTCAGTATTGATGAGCCTTGGAAGAATTTATTTCGTTATCTAAGCTTCATAGGCATTACTCAAACAGGAGCGTTTATTTTGGCACCAATGTACTTTAATGGTGAAGTTTATGTTTTCCATTACAACCACACGACGGAAAGTTTCGGAAAAATTAAATTTGATGTAAACGCACACTATGAATTTCAGGGTCGTCCTAGTACAAGAGCAATTGTTTTTCCGGATTACGTAGAGAGTGTTAGATTATTATAGAGGAGAGATGGTTCATGATTTGATACCCATCGTCTTTCATTTTTGTTTTTTACTTTCGGTGATTATTACTCTGTTGATTAGTGTTATTTTATAAACTTATCATCATATTTTTCTTCAACCAGTTGGACTTTATCTGCTTGCTTTAGTATGTTGATGTTTATCACAATACTACTAGTCACTGGCGGAATGAATATAT